TGAGAAAGAGGGTACTTCAAAAACACTGCATTTGTTTATGTACTGTTATCATGACACATATATAACTAATTGACAACAACCACACCATTTACCTAGAACAAGTGGTGACAGAGTCCATTATGTTAAGTTAGCAGGGGTTTTGCTTCACTTGAAGTGGTGTAATTAACAGCACACTAAGTGCACTGGCCCTTTTTATTGTGCCATGGCTAAGTGGAAACCCCTTTTACAGGAGTCAATGGTTCATCCCCAAGCTTTTTGGGGGTTGGCCAGACAACACAAGGCTACTGACAAAGATGAATGGAGCCTTTGCACGCATAGAGCCTCACTTATCCCATCTTCAGCGGAGAACACAGACTTATCCACCTCCTCATTGTGTTCACCTCCATAGAAAGGCACCTTGTGTGTGTCTAACAACCATCAAGTCAAATGCTAATGGTAGGGGGTGACCAGTGGAGATGATGAAGTGGAAAAAGCTGGTACCATGATGTGTGCAGGTGTGCAGGTGACCTTTCCTGCTTCTCTGAAGCACTGACCCTAAAACCAGAATACGTGTCAACACGTGAGCTGTGCGTGTGTGAGTCACCTACTTGCCTACAACAATGTGTGGAGCTCTGTCACTTGTTTCTTGTGCTGACATGTGGTTTGTGTCTCTCTCTGTGTTTATGTACAAATGTAGCACGGGTGTGGATTTATGTTTAAATTCCCAGCTGTTGAAGGTGCCTCACTTAGTGACATGCAGCTTTTTCTCACACAAAGAGCTGCTTGTTTTACTCATTAACACAACATTACAGCACATGAAAATCACACTTGTCAATGCATATGTATGTTTTTCTGTTCCCCCTATGTAAACATAGCTTTTCTGTCTGCCTGTAAAAACGAAAGTAATGCATGATCACGCCGAACCTCCCCCTTCTTGCACCCCCATCCTCCCTTGCCTAATTAATGTTCCCAGTCAGACTGCTTGTATGCGGGGACAGAGCATTTCATCACTGGTATAAGATTGTTGGGTCTGGCCATCATCGGCTGGTGGTGAAAGACATGGACTGAGGGTATGTGGGCTAGGCAGCGTACAGTAGATTGAGTAGTTCAGTGCAAGCTATGCAAGGTTGTTGTCGTGATTTACCTGTCAAAGGAGCTAAACACAGGTGTCAGAATTAAGGAGGAAGCCGCAGGGGAAACGGAGGACCAGCTGTGAGGGAGTTAAAAGAGGATGACGGCAGACAGCTACCACATAAACCCTGCTCCATCAAAACTACGATCAAAGGCAGTATAGATGGCTCCTATTCATGAGATGCCATGCCAAACAGCACAGAGGGGTGAAGGAGTTATATATGAAGGTTATATATGACCTCTAGCCTATTTGCTGATGCTGCAGAATTTATTAATCCCTTAACAGTTAAGATGCAACATTAACATGTTAGAAAAGGTGTCCCTAAACCATATTTACACTTACTATGGTCAAAAACCTATATAACCCACAATATAAGGACCCCATTATGTAGTAACTGCTCAATGACGCTTTAAATAAGAATGTTTTCACCACAGTGTGTTCTTTAGTATCCTTATCTATGAGTGTGTTTACATGCACGCTACAATATGAGGGTTTTTTGAGTATCCCACTGGTTTCAAAAACCAGGGGACTGTACCACGCAGTAAGAGTTTGCAGCAGGTGACAAATTGCAAACATGTCTACTGGCATCAGAGCATTTTTTACAAATGAAAAGCAAACTATAATATTAGACAAATAAGATTATGTTAAACCCATGATCCAGGCAAAAACAACACAGCTGCTGCTGCCAAATGCACATGCATGATCTGTAATATGAATGTGTTACTTAGATGTGTTCTTTTGGCATGTATGAAAATGTTTGCCTCATTCTTTTGCTGCAGTGGCTGTGTGTCTCCGTTTCAACATTAAAAGCCACTGGCACTGAATAAGTGGTTATTCAAGTCACTTTCAAGAACTTTGAGTCACTTCAAAAATCTGATTCATTAATTTTACACATTCAAAAATGTTTCAATCATTGTTCTAAAGTAACATCACAAAACTATGAAATGAAAATCTATTCATGCCATAGAAAGTGTTCAAACATTGGTAGAAAGACTATCTCAACAATTCAGCATAAGTTAAAATGGCGATGTAAGCAGTGTTAAGAAGTAAACCACGGACACAGGGTTAAACCTGAAGTTACTTTGCTAAGTTCAATATCGTGCCAAAGAAAAGATCAAAATCTGCCGAAGACTGAAAACTGGGATACTGTAAACATACTCACTATCACATGAGTCCTTGTTGAAGTTCTGTCAAACAGATAATATTGATGTAATTATGTAACACATATATACCCAAATGTTTCCCTCTCTTTCTCCTTCTGAGACTATATTCAATTATTTACATTACATTGAAGTTGCTGGCTGGGTTGGTTGCCATTGTTAGTGTGCATGGTTCAGCTGGTAGCCTGTGTTTTATGTGACAAGTGCAAAAACACGAATAATATTCCACTACCTACAGATTTTTTATCAAATGAAATTGTCAGGTTGTAGCTAAGGTGGTGATGTTACATCTGACAGTGATATTGAACCTGCGTCTGTTGTAGTACTGGTTTATTTTGACTCAGTGGAAAATAGTTCTCGTCAAGATGAGAAAATTGTAATAATCTTAGACCACAAGTTACAGGCTAGTTATGCAAATTAGCTGAAAGGAACCCCATTTTACTGCTACTTACAATACCACTGATTGTGGGTTCTGCCAGCCTTTTTTCCTGCACTGGAACAGTGCAACTGCAGCGTGGAGCCAGGTCTGGCAATGTGAGACTAGTGTGGGTCTGGCTCAAGGGTGCAGCCACCACAGAGAATTCCCATCCCTAATTCTTCACAAACTCCACATTTAAATTGCTTCAGCATCTGTTTTTTCCAGACTTACGAAGCCTAAACAAGGGAGGTGACTTGTAGGGAAAAGGGATGAGATCAGTTTCTCCCTTTGTCGTCCCTTGGGTGTCACATCATCACATGATCTTGGTTATCGAGCACAAAATGCTCATGGACCCCGTTATACCCATCTGCTGCTCATGGAGGCCTTGGGGAGACATCTGAAAGACGGCCACACGACACAACACACAGACCAAACCACAGAAGAACACGGGTGTGGAACTGGTACATTTGGAAGAGGATAAAACTTGCATTGAGAGGAAGGCAATATATTAAAAAAAGGAAGACAGGGGTCACATATGCTTGTGGAAAGGGAAGAATGCTGCCCTGAAGATCACAAGCAAAGAAATAATTTATCACTGCTCCCTCTATCATTTCTTCTGGCAGAGACAGATGGCCTGGAGTCAGATTGGATCACTTCTGGTTTTCTTTGGGATTTTTGCCTGCTGTGTGTTTTGATTATACACACATTCATTTACTCACACACACACACACACACACACACACACACACAGGAGGAGACTGGCAATTAGCAGTGTCAGCTAAATGAACATCTGCCTTCAATAATGAACTGACTTCATTTGAAACATGATAATTGTAGAGACAGAACTCAACAGCATGAACTCATGCAAGGTAGTTAATCTTTCATCAGATCGATTAAAGGGTATATTTAGCCAGTTTTGATAGGTTAAAGCATTTAGAAACCCTTTGTTTGAGATAAATTGTAATCCATCATACTTACTGCCGGAAAAAAAGTATTATATTTTGGCTGTTTCCAATTTCCTGCCAGTGTTACAACGGCAAAATCTGAGAATAGCTTGCAGCAGTTTCAAAAGCTGTGGTTCAGTAATGGTGAGATGTAACTGAGAAACATTTTGCACATGGTCCACCTACCTGCTTTATGTAGGTTTCAACTTTTAAAGGTTTTAAATCTTTAGCATGATGTTGGCTGTTGAGTTCAGTTGCTGTCAGAATTTTTTTTTACAGTAACAGTCACAGAACACTTCAACAAGGTGGATGCCTACCTAAGTAGTGGCTTCAATGTCTAATGAGGTTGATGGATTTGTTCCCTAAAAATAAGGTTCTCTTTTCACTACCCACTGTGGTAGTATATGTAGGTAGGTGTAGGTAGTATAACTACAAATGTAGGGACAACTTTTACAACACTCCAGCTTCAGTTTAAGGAAAATGACACTGTTATACAGACTTAGGATACAGAATCAAACATCTTATTAAAAAATATATTCTATAGTAACTTATATGTATAAGATATTAAAAAATATATTATCTTCATGGACTTGAGGCTTTGGATGCTACTGAATCAGTTAATGAGATGTTTTCTCCATTCTTTATTCCCATTTAAAGTTTTTCATTAAATGATGTCCTCAGTATTACTGAAGTAACACAGGACTCTTGAAACGACCCTATAGGTTTATACTACATTTTAACAAGCAGTTAAAATTATTTCAACTTTCTGAGAAATCATGTTTTGTCTGTCATGGAAGGGACGGAAGGGACTAAATACTACAATGCCCATGAGCCTTAGCTGCCGTGTGCACAAATTGGAAAGGAAGGGAAAGCGCTTTGTTGCTGCAGCTGTTGACAAAACATGACGCCATAGTTGCTGAATTCTAACAAGATTTACCCATAAATTAAAAGTGTACTGATTTAAGACGCAGATTGTAAAATCAGTTTTCTTTACAGCATAATCTTTAGCTCCCGCCCACCATTTGTAGTTCACAAGACAAAATTTTAAGGTATGCGTTTCTTGATGCACCTTGGGAGTTGTAGCCAACTTATCCCCCAAAATTATAATGATTTAACTGGGAGAGTTTCATGCTGATCCAAGATGTAGAAGTGCTCCAACTGTGAGTCACGTAAGATTGTCTATGGGAAAAGTGAATGGGATTTTTTTACTTGTGGGACTAGAGGTGCCAAAAATAGCTTATCTGACTTTGCAACTTTATTGACGACATCGCTGGCAAATATTTGTCCTCCTCCTCAACTCCCAATTTTACAAGCTCAACACCCATTACGTAACTGATGCAATACTTAAAATAAGCTGAGACTTCAAATCATAATAATATTTTATTATATATGTAACTGCCCTCGGTGTCTCGACTGATGTCTTTATGGTTACTTTATTTCTTTCTCCGTAACCGTATTGCACTGTGAAAACTATAAAAATATACAAATAGATATAAACATAAGTACTTTTGTACACATTACCTTAGTTAAAATCAAACATACTAAAACAATAAAACTAATTAAATACACAAATTAAACAGTCATTTTGTACCAATACCTATATATACACAATAACCTTTAAATCACACACTGGATTAATACATCAAAGCTAAATGGCTCTTCGTCAATACATAGCTAAACTACTTACAACAATAAACATGAACATTTCACTCCCGCAACACCGAAAACATACACACCTCGTTCCGTTTCCCAAACCGAAACCTGTCAATTTCCTTTCTTACTTATCTGAGTTTGGCGTCTTTACTGTGTGCCCTTGTCTGCTTGCTCGTCCTTCATTTGTGGGTTTGCGACAACCGTAAACTGGTAAGTACGGGGTTTATCTACACTTTGCAGGGGTTAGTTTAACCTAGTGGCAGAAACTATACTGCCCACTGGTGGACGCCACTGGTACCTGCGTGGAGCGATATGTTCATGTCTACACCATAATCCCAATAAAAAGTCTTTTATAAATACAAAACATTCACAGTCATTAAAATCAAGACCTCTTAAATGACTCCATGCGGACAGTTCCAATATATACTTGGGGTTAATCTTTTTTACACTGACAAGAATTCACATCTCTTCCAAATACAAAGTGACTGATGTGGAGCCACATAAGTAAACTTAGCTAAAAGTTAGCAAACAAGATACAGTATACAGTGTACTACTGGATGCTTTTAATGCAACTGTGCTGTGGTTCTGACAAACTGACTTTTGCTAATGTTAACTAGATTAGCTTACCTGTCCAACAAATGTACTGCTGACAAATGTTTCTTATGGTGGACACAGGTGTTACCAATGACAATTATAATGGCTGCATTCCAGTTCCAGGGTCCTGATGCCATGCATACTATGGCTCACTGGCATGGCTTACTGGCACAGCTAAATGGAATGCAGCCATCATTAATGTTATTAGTTACACTAGGGGCGAGTTCAGCGCTGACAAAATGTAGCTACATGTTTTTTTTCAATGGAAATGGTAGTGCCTCGAATACCCTGTTGTGTACGCCAGTGCACTGCATTTCCCTGCCTTTTTAACACCGTTGTGTTTACAAACTTGTCGCAGCTGATTGGGTAACACCTGTGACACACCCACAAAGCAGAAGAAAACATACATCGAAGCCTGTTGCGGAATGTTGCAAGGAAACATGTTGTTCAGTCCGAAAACGTTCCAAACCGGTGCAAAATATTTTGAGACTGAACTCGCTCCTGTGCTTTTCCTGCAAGGACAAAAGGTTTGCTGTGAGGAAGGCGTACGGAAGATTATTACTGCCCAAAATTTGCCCTATCATTCAAAACTTCCACTATTTACTCATTTTGGAGAAACTAAACACAGTTTAGTCCAAGAGGTCTGGAAGTGTAGAAATTCTCCAGCAGATACACAGTTAGTAAGTTTGAAATCTGTGTAGCCATTGAGGTAACAAAGGAACAACTGGCAATGATCAGCAATAACTGAAACAACCTGCTGATATATTTGGTGATATACTGTGCAAAGAGCCAATAAAATATTATTTACTATAGCTTTAAATGCTGGACTAGCTCCATTAAGATAGTTTCCAATTAAAAGTCGCCCAAAAAGTTACCCCATGCATCACTGCCTTTAGGAAAGGTAAGTGAAACCAATTCCAAAAAACCCTACCGCCTTCCTCTGTCTTTTATCCAGTAAGTGATCATAACCGCCATGTCGTAAACGCACAGTGGTAAACATGTAAACAGGGTATAAACATTCACAAGGTCAGTTTCACCCATGTAATCATTGCTAAAGCATTCAAACAAAGCAGACATGCTGCAGAAAGGGGACACTCTTACGTAAGTTAAATTAAACCAGAAAAGAGGAGGATGATGATGCCAAAGCACAAGAATGAGCTAATTGCTGATTTGTTGTACAACACAAGTCGAAACTGCAGTACACCTGACTCGCTTCTTTGATGTTAATGAAATACTGCTGGCCAAGTGGGTTCTTTACCGTGTACAAGGGCACAGAGGTCCTATTATGAAATGGAAACAGTAATTTTTTTCAGGATGAAAGTGAGCATGAGGATAGACAAACCTCTCACTCTCTCTCTCTAATCTACTGCATCTACACACACCTTAGCAGTGATGATCACCAACTTGCTGCAAAGATAGTCATGCTATGAAATCCTGCAGCTCCTCCCTTCACAGGTGTCTTCATCTCTCCTGCTTGTCTTGTCTGTCAACACGCAGATGAATCACCTATTGGAGGAATGAGCATCCATTGGACATGACTTGAGCAGGATGTTTGGGAATGCTGGAAGGCCTTGTTTTCATCTCACTTCCATCAAGGTATCTAGGCTTTGCGTGCGTCTTGGTGATGGATATGCCTACAATGCATGCCAACAGAAAGGGAAGTGGGAAGAGTGATAATGAGTGGCAATGATGGGAAGGGGTGGAGACAGACACTGGAAAAACACCACAGAGGTCAGTGCTATGGATCTGTCGGGAGAAGATATCGGGTATTTAGAGAATGGTTTGGGAGATGGCTCATTTGAGAACCTCAAACATCTGCATGCTCCAGTGCTCATCACATGTGAGCGAAAGTTTTAGAATAAAAGAGGGGTTAACTCACATTCGTGATCCACAGCTTGGTTGCTTTGACAACGTTAACAAGGGCTATGATTTGGATCTGTTCGTTCGCAAACACCCCATCACATCACACACACTCTTGGGCAAATGCAAATGCTCATTGAGAACACAAAAATGAACAGAAACAGTCAGCTAGAGTATTCAATGCTGAAAGCAACTTTAAAAAATGAAACATGCCTTGGCTGGAGTCCTACAGTATCCACCCCAACTCCCTGACACACATATTCATCAGCCAAATCAGGCAGTGTGTGAAAGATATGAGCTACCTTCAAGTAATGATGAATAGAGTGCAAGCTATCATGAACTTTATAATTACAATGATCACACACGGCTGTAATTCTCACTCGACACACTTAACACTTAAGCTTGTGTTGCTCTGCTGGCATAGACATGCCACACCAATAAATATGCATTCTTGCTCTCCTCTCTGCAAAGATTAAAGGGCCGATTTATGTGTACAGGACTCTGAAGCTGACGTGTCTGTGTCTGTTTTTATCAGCATACAGTATGTGTGAACTGTGAGATCTACAGTACATAGTTACACTTTAGTAGTTATAGTAATAGTTTTCTAACAAAATATTGATATAACTGGGATCCCAAACTATGGGTACAGGGGGTACAGCTGCAATTACCAGGGCACACAGAAAGAGTGTGTCCTGGTAGCTAATCTTATAAAAAAAGAGAAGATTGACATTAAAGGGGCTATATGTAAGTTTTTGATTTTAATAAATTAAATTTTCATTGACTTATTGTCAATGGGCTCAAAACTCACTTAGAAATGAAGCACACGCCTGTTTTCGCCATTGCTTGCATCCGCTGTAGTCTACCTCTCAGACTACAGCGACAACACGGCAGCTAATGACATGCAGTCAACTAACAGGTGAATTCAAAATTTAAAAATATAATGGAATACAATTCAGTAATCAGCTTTGGGACAATGCACGTTTGTTTCTTCTAAGTTTCAGTTGCATTGTATGTTTCCCTATTGTGCATTGTTTCATGTCTTGTTGCTGCTTTTCAGAACATTTTTTTAACATTCAACAAGTGATGGAGACATTCTGATTCTGACGGGTCCCCAGCGTCCCCAGTGTAAATGACACCTATCTGTCGATACTTTTAAATGTCACGCCCCACCCAGGCTGTGAGTGGTCGGTTCACGACAAGTGACATTGACGAGCTACATTCAGCACACGGCTGCTTGAAAGGCACCCGAGCTTCTGTTCTACTTTGCCTGTCTCCGCCGACAGAGTTTAGCAGGCAGAGAGAACAGAAAAAGTTGAGCGTCATGTAGCTCCCAGATATGGGGAGGGCAGAGGAGGACCGGCAGCTTGGGAGAAGTCCTGGTATGCCTGAAAATGTACCTGTACGCCAAAGAGTAAAATGTCGAGGTGCCGGTACTGCGTACCGGTGTTGTGCCGAATTCTGCCTACCTGCCGAGAATTGCATGCACCGCGCGGCTGGTAACGCTCATTTAAGAGAGGGAAAAGAGGTGGGTGCAAATCTCGGCAGGTAGCCTACAACATCTGTCCTGCCGAATTATACATCCATGTCTTAAGGTCCTTTTCACACTTTGCTGTGCTCATAGATCAAACGCGGTAATCACGACATCTTTTAGCAGAATCTCAATGAATGCTACTTCTACTAAGGATAATAAAATATTAACGACTCTAAACGTTGAAAAAATATATACTTAGAATAATTTATCACAATTGATGAACCCCACGAAGGATATTACAGCGTTTAAAAGCAGTATTTGGAGGTGCATGCAATTCTCGACATGCATGCAAAACTCGGCATAACACCCACTTCAAGCAATAACACCATTAAAACAACCAGCTCACAGCAAAACACAGGCTCCACGTAAGGATACAAAACAACAATAAAGGTTTATGTGCTGAAGCCAATCAGACCAAACAGGTTCAGATGATGTCAAGTAAGAACAAAGTGACCATTAATAAAGCTGGAGAAACACAGAGAAAGTCACGTTAGCTCGCCGGCTAACGCCGAGCAGTTGCTAATGTTATCCGGAGCAAAGTTATATCGCTTTCCACATTACTTCACCAACTAACGCGACCCATGCTACTAAACTGTGTACCAATGTTGATTTAGCTTGCAAGAAACGATGTAATGGCAAAAAGCAAATGTATAGCGATTTGTTTACTAACGTTAGCCTACAGTTATGCAGCCAGGGCAGCCAGCTAACGCTGCAGTAGCTCGGATCTGCCGCTGTTTTCTTCGTAACTTCAGTTTATGTTTATTGTGGTTTTACCAATTCTCAGATACACAGCTTACCACCTCTCAGTCGCTGTAACTAACGTGACCCACATAACATAAAACACTGAAAAACGGTCACAACAACACAGAGGAAGGAAGAGCCATCCACTAACACTAGTTACAGTAAGTACAAGTTACTTACTGTGGTCTAACTGTTACAAAGTGTGACACAATGTCATTATAATATCCGTTCCAGCTCACTAACCGTTTCATTATCATTCAGTAACGTTACATGTAGCTGTGCTGACATTACTGAGCCTCCGGTGACAGATTCACAGATAGTAAAGATAGTTAACGTTGCTGAAAAGCAGCAGACGAGCTAACGATGTAGCACGTCGGCTAAATGCAGTAAATGTAACGTTATCATGTACGTGCATGGATTAGTTCAACCTACAGTTGAAAACTATTACTGTAACGTTGCAGTGGGAGTTTACCTGAGTTTCCAGCTCTGTCTGTTCTCCCTGTCAGTCTATAGCTGCTGTCACTCTGCCTTCTTTCGGGAGTAGTGTGCCGATATGCGGCTGGCTGCGCTGAAAGGTGCGGCGCCGGTGTTGATCTGCCTCTGAGACGGGAACTTTGAAGTAACAGAGCCTGAACATGTCTGGAGAAAAGCCACAGCCTGCATGCTGGTGTTCCTGCGTTTATTGCGGTATTTCTGTATGAAAGTGGTAGTGTGTCGGATTATGCTCGCTCATGAGTTCAAGCGAGCACGCGTACGAGCACACACTTGGTTGCAATCTTAGAACCACACCGCTAGTGGCCGCTCGAAACTCCATAATGCCCCTTTAAGGATAAAAATGTCCACATAGCAAGCCTAACCCTGTAATGCAAAAATTGTTGAAAAGCTACAAGTATTTATATATAACCAGTTAGCTAAAGGTAATGGATTTTTTTTTAAATAGCTACAAGTATAACTAATAACTAATTAAAATAGTTAGCTAAAAGTAATGAATATTTGATTAAATTAGATAAAAGTATTGGACAAATAGCTGAAAATAAAGTAGCTAAAAGTAAATTGTTGGAATACTTCATAGGCCTTCAGACCTTTCAAAGTGAGTAAATAGATAAATGATGAAATAGCTAAAACAACTGAAATGGGTAGCTAACTGTAATATATAAATAGCTGAAGCTAAATGTATCAAGTCAGAGCTATTTGTATGAAATAGAAGGAACCCCTCAGCCTGACTGTCATGTTATGGTCCACTACCCAAACACAGAATGTGGTGCAAGAAATTAGGTTTTCTCCATTTATCACAGAGGAATTTTCTCTCTCTCTCTCTCTCCCTCTCTCTTGTAACTGTCCCTTTACTTCCCTATTATTTCTCTTCTCTCTGCAATCTTCACTGAAATGTCCAGCTGCAACTCAGTAGTACTTATGCAAACCTGACCAAACTGACTTAAACATTGACAGTTCAACTGTATGAGAAAACATTGTTTTTGTATAACTAATGCTAAATAATAACATTTGGCACAAGACAGCTTTTGTCAGTGGCTCCACTGCTATAAAATACTTGATTTCAAGCAGTCTTTAATTGTTTGGAAACTCCCTCCCACATTGTGTTCTTATCATAGACATCCCAGAAGCTTCCCGAAAACAAGCCAACATGCCAGCATGCCTTTCTCCCTCCACTACCTATAATCCTTATCTGCTAAGTAAATAAGGGCTCCCATCCTGTCTAGAGGGGTTTTGTCTCTTTCTACACTGAGCTCTGTCTGCCAGCCATCCTTAAAACTTGGTCATAGGAAAGGAGAGGGAGGTTGAGTAAGGGATTCAGGCAAAAAGGCAATGCATCTCCCAAAAGCCAAAAGTAACCATCAGTGGCTGGGTCCACTAGCCTTATTTAAAAAAAATCTCTATGAGGTATTTCAGGATTTGTGGAACATTTAAAAAAATGTCTTGTATGGAAGCCATGGATACATTCAGAGTTTTGGAACATTTATAAGAAAAGGATGTGTCTCGTTGTGGTCTTGAAAAATATTGTATTGTATTTGGCAACAGATTTGTACACAAGAATATTTCATGGTGATGGAAACTTGATTAAACATTTTGTCTTCATTATTCATGCTTATTTTCATTTCAACATTTTGCGGCTCACACATTCACAGACAACTCACACAACAACTACCAGTGCAACCAGCTAACATAGTCCACTCTGAAGTGTGTGTAAGGCCTATCTTTCAGTAAGATGCTTAACCCTCGTGAAGAAGCCGTTTTGTAGCTTCCAGACTTCCAATTCTGCCATTATCTGTCTCGGGAATGCAGAGGCAAAACAAAAAAAAAAAAAGTCAGTTTGAGTGGCCAACTGGAGAAATGAACTGTAAAAACTTGCATGCCTCTCTTTTATTCACATTGTGAGTGGAGATGCCAGAATACAATTCAATTAATATTTGGCAGAGGGCCGGAAGACTGTGTTGAGGACAGCATCAACACACACACACACACACAAAAAAGAGAGAGAA